AATGAGGAATTAGCGATGGAAAAAATAATGGAGAGCAGAGAGAATTGGGGCAAGAAATATATTTTTAACCTTAAACATGTCACATGATGTCGATCATTAAATAGTGCACCCTAAATCAAGTTTGTAGTATCAGATGGGTTGAGTTGACCTCTGACCTCTAATTCTTTATTTGTTGCCGATTAATTGATTTTACAGGAATCAGTGAAGATAATGAAAGAATAATATGAGCAAACAGAACAGGACAAAGGGGTTGAGGGGCAGATATAGTGTGAGACACAGTCATGTCTCATTGTATCAGAGTCTGATCTCCACATCTGCGTGTAATGGAGTTTAGATGATTAGATGATTAGATTACAACTGCAGCCTGACCGCAGAAAATCGCTCAGAGCCACGTGCTCGTAAAGTCAATCCACCAGCGCCAGAACTTGGAACAGTGTGGACTTCCAGGCATTGTGCACTGGCAGACCAAGAATTGTCTCTTAAGGCAGAAAATTCACCCTCTCAGCTGATTTCAGACCAGTCAATAATCAGAGCCTTCCAACAAATGCCATGAAAAGCTATTGCACATGCAATATAAGGTAAAACATATGGTGAATAAAGGTCAAAATTCAACAACAGCTTTCAGAGCAATGCACGTTTTCTTATGTGCTTTGAGAGGTGAACATTTCTTTGTTTAACATAATTTTACATTGGCTATGCCCACATAAAGTTAGTGTTTGAGAATTGAACAAGTGAAAGGCTCAAATTGTCTGGTACATGCTATAGCAGACAGTATACACACACAATCTAACTTTATTGACAGATAACTATAGTGAATATCAAAACAGATAACATTTTACAAATCAATGCGAAACACATTGTTTAAACCCATTTTATGTCGGCAGTTTAATGCATTTGAGAATAAAATGTGATATTCAATAAGAAAAAGACACCTAAACATCCAAATTAATTTTAGTCTCCGTCAACATGCTTATGAACTCGTAAACACTGACAAAATTTAAAGTAGTCTTTTCTTTCTGTGAAAAATTGATGACTTATCTTGCACTACTCTTTTTTTTATATTCAATTAAATACTTTCTTGAATGAAAATGTCTCTTCATCTGTAAATAACTAGCAAGTAGCTAATCATAAAGTTTGTGATATAACTAAATCTTATTGTCAAAAAAAAAAAAGTCCCACCAAAGCTTGGAAACCGTTTCAATAGGAAATATGTAAACACAGTACAGATAACTGTGCCTGTTATATATTGAGAAACTTTCATAAGCAAATTGTGTAAGTAAGGAATAATGTAGGGATAATCCGCTTCGCATTGGGGTCCTGATCACCCTGTCTGGGTTATTCTGCGATAACAAGCAGCTGGATGTACATTATCCCGCTTCTTACACAGCTACTTGCCAAATAAGTAAATAATTAGACACGAAATGTTGATTTGAGTTGACATATTTAATCGGCACAAAATGGCAGCAGCTGCGTTTGTATGAAACAAGAGAGAGCAAGTCCGCGATACCAGGACAACATTATTAAATAATTGTACACATAATATTGATTTGAGTTTTAATATTTTATTAGCTAACCAAACGCAAAGCTTCCACGAAAAAAAACAAAAAACTGTTCCTAACAAGCGTATAGCGCCGACTTCAGTTACCCGGATGAGCCTGTGTTATCAGCTTTTACCTGTTGTTATCGAGGAATAACATACCTTGGAATGCCGTGACTGACCAATCAGAATCAAGTGTTCCACAGAGCCTTGTAATATAAAATAGAATAACACTTTTCACTTCAAACAACCGTATTTTGCTGCTGTGTGAGCATAGACAACCATTATAGAAAGAGTAGAGGCCCACCGTCTTACACTTCTTAAAAAAATAAAGAAAGAACCTTTAACATCCTTGGAACCTTTCCATTGCACAAAAGGTTCTTTAAAGTAAAAAAAAAAAAAGCCCTTTAAATTATTAAAATGTTCTTCAAAAAATGGTTCAGGATATGTTCACTGAAAGGTTCTTTGGGGAACCCAAATTGTTCTTCTATGGCGTTACGGCGAAAATCCCCTTTTGGTATAGAGTTTAGCTACAACCTTATTAAACACATCTGAACCAAGTGATCAAGATCTTCAGGGTCACTAGGACTTTCCAGACAGACGTTTTGGAGCAGGGTGGATCCAAACTCTGCAGAAATGTCCAGGAGCAGGAATGACACCTTTTGCAATTGAGAATCACTTCACATGCTTTGACCAATCTCAATTACAAACTGACATTCGTTATTAAGCCACTGAATGGAAGAATGGAAAATCTGTGCTTTTAATTAAATAATCTCTCTGCTTGACTGACACCTTATCCGTTTTTCCAAATACTTCTATTTTGGAGTCTATTTTACCCATTCTCTTTCACAACATAACAGAGAGAGAAAATAGAAAGAACTGGAAAAACTCGAAAGAAACAGAAAATATGTCACACCTTTAATTATTGGGAGTCTGACACTTCTATTCTAGAACAAGCCTCTAGAGGAAAACACTAGATCAGTGTGGAGTGTTAGAGATCTCTTATTCTATACGTCCTTAAAAACAGTCTGTCTGGAGAAGAATGATGCAAGAACGCTTCCTGTTAGATCATTTATTTATATACTAAAGGTTATATAATAAATGTACAGATTTAAATATTCACTGTAAAACAAAATCTATACATTTTATAGTACAAAAATGGCATCTCTGGTTGCAATGGTAGACCAGTTTAAGTTTTACAGATTTAACTCAAATTTACTTAAAGGACATTCCATTAACTGAAATAGTTAATATATCTAAATCTTTTGTTTCCCTGCTGTATAATATATTGACAACCACCTTAAAAATACAGATGGTAAAAAGAAAGCTACATAAGGATTCAAAGTTCATAATTTTTAATTACAATACATTATGACTTGTTCTTTTTCACTTTAACAGCATTTTAGTGTTAAATTACATTAAATGTCTCAATTGATCTATTACAGTTTTTCACCCAATAGAGTAAAGGAACTTACCATTAACCAATTTTATTGATGATTTTTTACCATAGCATTTTTAGTTAATGCTGCAGCTGTATACATGTCGAAGAAACAGCACTTTAGATATGACTCAATTTACAATAAACTGCATCACTCTGGTTCTGGAAATGCTTCTGTTGAAGTCATCAGTCAGGGTAATTACAATAAAAAAAAAAAAGTAAGGCAAATTCCAGGTGATGAACAATACTACTCATAAATCTCACAAGAAAGCAAGCCACCAAAAAAAATCAAACACATCAAGACAAAACACTTCCACTACCATTCAAAATGTAGGGGTCAGAAAGATTTATTTATTTATTTATGTCTTATGCTCACCAAATACACTAAAAACAGTAATATTGTGAAATATTATTACAATTTAATAAGAATTTATTTACAATTTATTACAACTTTAAATTCATAGTCATACAACATTTCTATGAAATTTTTAGTTTTGTTTCATAGTTTTGTAACATTATAAAGGTCTTTACTGTCACTTTTGATCAGTTTAATGCATCCTTGCTGAATAAAAGTATTAATTTCTTTAAAAAAAATTATTTTTACTGACCCCAAACTTTTGAACATTAGTGTGTTGCAATACATTTAAATATATTTCTTATATTGCCTGTATATTGCACCGTTATTATTATTATTATTATTTTAATTTGATCCAGTCATTCACAATTCTTCATGGGATTGTACTTCAACAAAAATACCTGTTTTTCCTGTTTTAATATATTCTTTTGCTTCAAATTAAAGTCTGTAATCTTGGAGATGATGGCTAGTTTGATCCCTAGATAAGAATGTTTTATTGAAGAAATCCTTGTGAAGAAAATGAATGGGAAAAGTGCTTCTGTTGTGCTTTATATGAAAAAATAAATGTCCTTAAAAACGGTCTGTCTGGAGAAGAATGATGCAAGAACGCTTCCTGGTCAGGAAAAAATATATGTCCTTAAAAACAGTCTGTCTGGAGAAGAATTTGCACCAGCCTTTAGCTGCAATATTGAATTATCATTTGATCAAAATGATCAGAAAGCATCACACAAATACAGTAGATGCAAAAATCACATTTGACAGCAATAGTTATACACGCAGTACTTTTTATAACACTATGTGTGATTGTGTGTGCATGATTAACCCTTTTAAAATCTGTCAGACAGTGTTGATACACACAATATGTGCACATGAACCTGACCTAATCTGTGACCTGCATCTATTAGCTGTGATATAAACTGAGCATTTAATTGTATCTGGACTGCATGTATGTGGCATACCGATCCATCCTGCCGCCGTAAAATCACACATATGCACTAACACTAACATATATGTTAAGTGCATATACACACAAAAGTGCAAAGTGATCTGACAGAATCAGGTCAGTGACCACACACCCCAGCCCAAAGGGGAGGACACCGGATGTGTGTCCTAAATAACCTTTAATGACCTCCACACAGCATACAGACAGCAGACTGTGGCATATACTGCAGTCTATCATGCATCCGGCTCGGAAATGGGCATTAATTGCAGACATGCACAAACATTCCCATAGAAAATAAAAAATACAAGACAGCAGTGACCTTAAATTTTCTCCTAAGAAAAAGATGCCAGTGACACTTACAGTTTCAAATGAGATCTCAACAATGTCTCCAATATCTACACAACCCACAGTCTGAAGAAAGATCCACAAATCAAAGAAATCAATTTTACTACAGAAGCAGAAATCATGGGATTTCCTGTTCACTCCTATGAAGCATTGCAAATGACTTAATCGAATTCTCTTCACTTTTTAAATAAACATTTTTTTTTCTATTGTCTGAAAAGATGCTTTTGAACAATGTGTATTGAAAAAATTGCTAAAAATATAAAATGACACTTTATATATTTTGTTTTCATTGTGGCAACTGAAAAAAATAAGTTACCCCAATGACAGTAACTGTTTTTTCAGTTGCTGTGACAAGAATTTTTCTATTAGCAATATAAGACAATCAACATTGCATGAACAAACAAGTTTACATTGTCTAAACAAAGTATCTTTACTGAGCAGGACTAAAAATCTATTGTTGAGAGAACTCAAAAGTCTTACTGCATCAAGTTGCCTTATTATTTTATGTTTTCTCAACTATTTATTTTTTTACAGTGTACTTTGTTGCTGTTTTTCACAAAAAATGTTATTTTCATCTGACATTCCAGGAATTACTCCATTTTAAGGGAAAGTTCAATCAAAAATTAACATTCTGTTTGCATTTACTCACTCTCATGTCATTTTCCATGCATTCACAATGAATGGGGAACTGAGGTCTCAAATAAGACACAACAGCACAAAAAAATGATTATAAAATTCTTCAAAGTCTTCTTGAAGTTATACAATTTCCTTTAGTGTGTAGGATTTCTTTTATGGTTATTTTATATCCTTTTTGAAGCTTGATGGCATATGAGTTAATGATGACAGAATTCAAATTTTTGGGTGAACAGTCACTTTAGGGTTCCCTTGGACATTTGAACTAAATATTTTCACATGTAGTTTACTAAACCTGAAAAGGTTTGTATTGATACCCCTGGAATTCAAAGCAATGAGCGTGTTTGAGGTAAAAATCTATGTGACTTTCCAAAAATTATGCCTACTGAGATAGACGAGCTGTAGGCGGGATGTGTGTGGGTAAGACTCATCTGGTTTGACCTTCGTACATGCGACAGATGTTTTCAGATGTCCTCAAATCCAGCTGTTTTTCATTGCTCTGTGGAAAACGGAAGGTCAAATCCTGCAAAAGCTGTGTCTGATTTAGAATCATGTGCATGAAGAAGAGCAACACCAGATTAAGCAGGGGGAAAAAATTAAAATGTATAATTTACAAAGCCTTGCGTCATTCCAAACTAAACAACTTTACTTCTGTGAAAAAACAAAGGAGAAAATTCTTTATTTTTCATGCAACTAAAATGAATGGGGACTGGAGCTTTCAAGCTTAAAAAAGCACACAAAAGCACCATAACGTAAGTTGTCCATACGACTTGTGTGCTTCAGAAAACTTGGAATATTACAGAGCCCCTAAGGGGACATGGTGATGGAAAAAAAATATGAGCTGTGGGGAAAAAAATTTGTTTCAATAGTTTTCGCTCTCTCACAAAATTACTGTGTTCCCCTGAGGAACTTCACGCTCTTTCACAAAAACATTTGCATTCTCTCGCAAAAGTATTACATTTTCTTGCAAAATGATTGTGTCCCCCTGATGTACTTTGTTTGCCCACAAAACATTTGAGTTCTTTCACAAAACTATTATTTTTTTCTTGCAAAACAACTGTTCTCTTTGGGTTGAACTGTCCTGGAACAGTGTTGTAAATACAACTTAACCACTGATAGTTGTGTCCTCTTTTGGAAGGCTTTCACAATGAAACACACAGCGTCACACACGGCGGGCTTGAGTGAGCGGCGGACTGCGAGCTTGAGAACGGCGCAGCCGGCGGATTCATCGAAGGAGCGGTTGGCGGGCTTGTGGCAACCACATGTGACGACCCCGGACTGGACTCAGCTTCGTCCACGGTGAAAGCCGATCTGGCGATTCACAGGCCAAACAAAGTAGTTTCGCTTTCACAACGAAACACACAGTGTCTCCACGACATGGCAGCAACAATACTAGCGAGAATAAAAGTTACGCCTTCTGTCTTTGTGTGAACATTTGGGCAGCATTATGCAAATCTTCCCACATCGTGACGTAGACATGTGGGGTGGCGTGTTAGAACGAGCCGTTTTAGGTAGGCGTGGTTGACTCTTAACTTTTATAAAGAATATCCCTTTGGATTTGAAACTTTAGTCTTTGCAACTTTACAGATCTTCTTTATGCACCAAGAGCTTGTAACACTCCAAAGAGAAAGGAAAAATTGAAATCGCATCATATGACCCCTTTAAGACGAATAGTGCCACATTAAATGATGTTAAGAATATAGTCATGTACAGTGGAGTGCACAGACCTCCGGAGGGGCAGGGGCAAAAAGGCGTTACGAGTGCACAAATGGGGGGGGGGGACTTTAATCAAAATCGGAACATTTGCTTCTGCTCTGGAATGGCATTCCTTCTCTCATGATGTCAGTTTCACGGCTTGGGCAGAATATATCCTTAAACACACCCCTCCAACGTTAGGTTGCTATGAGTAAGAGACAGAGAGGAGGAGCGCAAAAATAAAATGACGCCCTCTATTCAATATTCTGTTTCAGCTGGAAATACGTCACTACACTGAAATAAAGTCGGCAGCAACTTCCGGTTAACGTGGACTTTAAAGGAATAATTCACCCAAAAATTAAAATAGGCTAATGTTTTATTTTTTATATTTTAGTTTTTATACCTTCATTTACTCACTCAAAAGTGGTTTTAAACCTGAATGAGTTTCCTCCTTCTGCTAAACATAAACGCTACTTTGAAGAAGGTGGAAAACAAACAGATGTTGGTCCAGTGACTTCCATAGTATTTTTTTCCCTACTATCAAAGTCTATGTGGACAAGCAACTGTTTGGTTACCCAGATTCTTAAAAATATCTTCTTTTGTGTTCAACACAAGAAAGAAACGTTTAACCAGTAAGGCTTTAAAGCAGATGCAAAAAATATCTACTCTAGTGATTGTGAATAAGTAGACCGTAGACCGGCACGTAGATCGAACTGCAAGGGTACTTAAGAGTCGGACCTCAAAGGGGCAGGGGCTCGAGCCCCCCACCTGTGCATGCCACTGGTCACATACCCTGTATTTTTGAATTTCAAATATTTTTCTGCTTTTGATTTATGTCGAAGATGGTTGGATTTGTTTGAAATACCTATGAAGAAAATTAATGGGTAAAAAAATAAAAACAGGAACCAAAACTGCCAAAACGTTGGTGGGTGTTCACTGTCCTCTATATGAAGTCAAACATTTCTCATCGAATTCTTCCAAGACCAACTGATCTGAGGCTTTGCTGTCCACATTAATTTTTCAGCTCTACACTTGTATATGTTTCAGTAATTGTCTATTTTATTTCTAAAAAGAGATTTTAAGATTGTTTTCCAGTTTAAAATATCTAGAAAAACCTTTAAACACGGATTTTTTTTTGAGAAGTGACATTTCATAGATATTAAGACTCTTATTAATATATGTGCATTTTGTCTTATGTGTTTTGGTAGATTTTGTTTAACTTATTTTTAACTCGTTTATACCTGAAACAGGAAAAAAAATCTGCCAGTGTATTTAGACAAAATACATTCACAATAACTAAATATTCGATACGTCCGGCTTTTATGGCTCATATAGTATGATATAGGAGAATATGGAGCTTATACTTAAGGAGGTAAAAAATGTCTCAGTTTAATTCAGAAGCCCAAACTTAGCAAAAAGATGCAATTTGGAGCAGATATTTATATGCTCAAAAACTAAGATAAATTCTGGTTGCTTGTAATGTAAATCAGTGAGATCGCGATAACAGTTTAGTCATACTTATATAAAATGCATATAAACATTAGTTGTCACTCTGTATCTCCCAATAACATGTCAAAGCAAAATTATATTGAAATGCTTAATTTTTATGATCAAAGCCTTGTAGTTTTTATTTTATAGGGACAAACATATAATGCAATGCAATACATGATGACTGATAGAATAAAATATTTCTCTAAGAAATATTGTATGAAGAATCAAGTAATTCCCAGTTAGTGTTTATCTTGAATATTACTAACAAAATAAAAGTTATTCTTATGTATACTCCTATGTAAAACTAAGATTTTACAGCAAAAAGACACAATGTAGTTTTTAGAAGGCCTTTTACTGGCTAAAAAAAGTATAAACTATCAATCAGACGACAGAAGGCATGTAGTAGATAGTGTACAACAGGTTTTTCAGCAAGTTTTTGATCATGTTAATTTAGAGGCCTTCTGAAATTTGCATATCAAATATGGCACAGTAGGCTTTAAAGTGACAAAAAGATACTGTTATTTCTCTGAAAACTAGTCTTAATATCTTACGCATTGCCACTTCTCAAGTAAATTAATCTTGTTTTAAGGATTTTTACAGATATTTTAACTGGGAAGCAAGTAAAAAAAAAAGCTAATTAAAAATTTTTGGCACTATACTTGCATAAAACGTAACTGAGAACTTCATTAAGATTGCAGCGTTATGCAACAGCAGCCTACATTCACAATTATACAACAGACACTTTTATTTAAAGTCACAAAGTCATTCCAAGCTATACATAGCATTAGTTCCCTGAGAACTGAAACCATGACCTTGATGTTGCAAGCGCCGTGCTCTACAGGAACCTCTGAGATATAAGACTCATGCATGTCCTTCGTTCTCCTTTACTCGCTGAAATTAACGTCAGACTTTCTCCTTTACTGTATAATCACATGCACTCATCTCTCTATAAATGTGCTGACTTCCCATTTACTAACGCACCCCTCCTCCTTGTGTCCCTCTCTCTCCTCTTTGCTCTCTCGTTCCTTCCTGTCCTCCTTCTCCTTCTGTGCTTTCTCTCTTCCTTCAGAGCATAACCACCTGAATAATGTCGCGCATCCTACTTTGAGTCCCGTAATGACTCTGTCCCAGCCTCACAACAACATGGACTTCAACAAATACTCCTCTCTCAAAACCATGGGTAAGACACACACACAAACAGCTGTCACATCTTGTAATGCACACCATAAATGCCACACATGTTCATCAAGGTCACTTTATCCACAAACACTGATTACCATTGCAAATGATTCCCAGTGTCATTGACTGCAATGTAATCACATATGCAAATATCACCACTCAGATCAAGAGTAAAAAAACCCTGACATTTTATTACATGTAAATCACAAGTGGATGATCTCAGGAGCATGTACTGTACATATACGGATATGCTAATAATGGACATAAACACACACTATGTAGTGTGACCTTATCAATCACATCATGACTCGAAACACAGAGGGGCCAATTCACTAAACAGCCACGCTAGTGTTTGTTCTTAGCACATTCCCTCCCGAGACACGTAGAAATACATACTCGCTGAGAATTAGGGGCTGATGGGAAATCAGTTGAAATGTACTATGTTATATGAAATTAAGGAAAAATATACGCCATATGCTGCATGACCAAGAGCATAAAAACACGAACAGACTCAAATACACTAAAGCTTATATCTTCATAGTGTATATGAACATACACTATTCTAATAACCTGGTTGTACCAAAGGAAAAAATAAATATATCAGTTCGTTTGGGGTTGGTCAGATTTTTTTAAATGTTTTTAAAAGAAGTCTATTGTGCTCACCAAGACTGCATTTATTTGATCAAAAATACAGTAAAACAGTAATATTGTGAAGTGTTACTACCATTTAAAATAGCTGTTTTCTATTGTAATTTAACATGTAATTTATTTCTGTGATGGTAAAGTTGAATTTTCAGCATCATTACTCCAGTCTTCAGTGTCACATAATCCTTCAGAAATCATATTAATATGCTAATATTTGCTGCTCCGGAAACATTTCTTTCTATTATTATTAATGTTATGAAAACAGTTTTCCCTGCATAATATTTTAAATATAATAATTTTTCTTTTCTGGATTTTTGATGAATAGAAAGTTCAGAGTAGCATTTATTTGAAAGAGGCCTACCAAAAAACAAAGTTTTTTGTAACAATATACATTTCTTTACATTAACTTGCATCCTTGCTGATTAAATGATGAGCGATATTTTTAAAGGGATAGTTCACCCAAAAATTTAAACTTATGTCATTAATTACTCCCCCTCATGTCATTCCAAACCTGTAAGAACTTTGTTTATCAAATTAAGATATTTTTTATGAAATCCAAGAGCTTTCTGACCCTGCATAGACAGAAACAACTACCACGTTCAAGGCCAGAATGGTAGTAAGAACATTGTTAAAATAGACTATGTGACATCAGTGGTTCAACTGTAATTTTATGAAGATACGAGAATACTTTTTGTGTGCAAAGAAAACAAAAATAACGACTTCATTCAACAATTTCTTCTCTTCCGTGTCGACGTGCGTTCACGAGTGTACCACAAAGAATGCGTGTGGTGCTGCTGACGCAGGAGCCGGCATTCTGACGTAGAGCATGCGCTGCACCTTGTTTACAAGCAGAGGAAGGCACACACACAATGCAATACACAATGCATGTTGAGAAAGCTGTGTTAATAAGGATATATTTACAATTCAATTCACATACTATATAATTTCAAAATATGACTTCAAAAATCAATAATAAATGGATACATTTATGTAATGAATTTGTAGAATGAAAAATTTGATTTTAAAATGAAGCCTATTTTTAGAACCTTTCCCATTTCCTTTTTTTTTTAGGTTCTGGACAGTTTTATTAACATTCTTAAGATTGTATTTCTGCATAGCTATTGTGGGATCTTACTAATATAAAACATATTATTCCTATTGCACATATTTAGCCCACATCAAAGAGATATGAGAGGATAAAACACAAAGATGGAGAGGGATTTTTTCCCCCTTCAAACAATGTGTAGTTATATGGTACGTTCACGTACATGCAGATTTTTTTCCTCTTCAAACAATGTGTAGTTATATGGTACGTCCACGTACATGCAGTCTCTGGCATGGTGTCTACTGTTGGATTATTGCATTTGGAAAGCTTGAGATGGATCAGCCCTGACTGCACTGGCAAAGAGATTGGATGGGGAGAGTTCAGCAGGGCAAGTGGAGGGAAAGATGAGAGGATGACGGGAGAAAAGAAGGAGGAACATGCGCATGTGGAGAGGGTGTAACGAATAGGGTCGGAGCCAACTTGTGGCAGGTGCCTAAGACAGCTTCCCAAGCACCATCTTAATTAAAGAATAACGTTTGGAAACAGATGGCCAGATATAGAGAGAGGCAAACTAAATTAAACAGAGAAAGTTGTGAGGAAAGAAACAAAGAGAAAGGCGAAGAAGGAGTTATAAGAAAGATAAGAGAAATAGTACTTGTGGTAAAGAGGGGAAGAGACTGTAAGAAAGGAAGAAAAGACATGGACAGAGAGGCTGCTGGTACATTTACCGTCTGTTCATTAGTTAGATACATATGTTCACTCTCTAAGCATTTCCTGTGTCTGACATCATCAGGCCGTTATGTCACGTTCTCTCCTGTTGCAGTGCCTGAATGCCCCTGAGGACCACACACACACACACGTTTTTCTATCAGGATTGAGACTTTTTATTGACTGCTGTTTTATTTATACAGAGGAAATTATGTGTTCAGTATCCTATCTGAACACATCTGCTGTAAATGATAACATCACATACTTAACATCCTATACTTAAGGTAATTACTAAAGACCAGACCTTGGCACTAAAATAAAACTTTTTGCAGTGATAAAGTAAAAATGAAATATCCCTAGATGCCCACAAAAGGAGGTTTTGTCAGATTTATCAAACCTTACTATTATGCAAAGTTGTGAGAAGGTGCAAAAATAAATAAAAATAAATAAAATAAAATATGGTTTGATAAACTTTAGTATTTTCTATGCTTTTTTCTATGCTTATTCAAAATGGTCAATTTTCTGGTTTAGCCTATAATTCAAAGTGTGTGTGCAGTTGTGTAAGTGTGCAGTACTCTTTTTCAGGCTAGCTGGGCGTATATGGCATAAGTGTGTGTGTGCTCGTGTGTTAAATCTGTTCGTCTCTTGCTCATTATCAGGGTAATACGTCTCGGTGTCTTTCTCTTTAAACACACTCCCTAAATAATTAATGCCTACTCAACGCACACTGCCCACATTACCTATTCACTGGACCTTCACTGGAAGTCGACTGAATTGTGATTCTTTAGATCCTGTCTTCTCCTTTAAATTCAAATCAAAACACTCCTGAATTAAAAAGCACATGAATGCACTAAAGGATGTGCACACTTAAAAACATAATATGAGCTAATCTGCATGTCTAACCGCATTAGCAAATTACTGCTTGATTTACTATCTACAGGAACAAATTAACATCTTCATTTGGGTAAATTTGGTCATATTTCTAAACACAGGTTTTGTCACTTCTTCAAACACAGTGCTGAGACATGGCTTTGGCCGTCAGCATGCTGCAACATCCCTAAAACCCCTTCAGGTTTCATTTTGACCTTCTAAGCTGATTGTAATACTAACCGACATTCGCTCATGCACGACTACAAAGAGTGAGCGCGTCCATACTGATGTGGTCAAAAAGAATCATAACAGTAGCTGCTAATGCCAAGTTACCACAGTTTTACTTTAGTGACTACAGTATTTTGCCAGAAACAATGATTACCATCGGGCCAGGATATATACGTTTGAGATCACATTCAATGAAATTATGCTAGATGCTTGTGTGCCTTGTCAGCAGGTATTCCCCTCATGCGTTAGCCGTGACTCAGTCGATAGTGAGAAAGGACAGTATTGGAAGTCAGAATGGAAAACAAGAAAAAGGAGACAAAACAGTGAAGCAAGGTTGTTTAAGTCTATGGGCAGTGAAGCGAGTGGCCTGTCTATAGCTTGCAGCACTCAGTGGAGATGGGCTAATTTGACGAGACAGGCTAAAAGGCTAACTCTACTCTGTCAACTGTTGCTAACATGCTAACCCACTTTAATCTGCAAAAGAATAAAATAACCAGCCAATTTTATACAGTTTACAACCCTTACGGGCGTCTATCACATAAGTAGCTAACTTTTACCAAACCACTGTAAATATCACTAATCAAAATAGTATACACACAATAGTGCATAATAATTATAGTCCTGCAGTTATAATTGCAGTTTATGTAGTGAGACCACCATACCACACCAGGTAAAACTATGGATCGTTGCTCCCAGCAAGTATAAAACATTTTAAAGTATCAGTATTGGAAGTCAGAATGGAAAACAAGAAAAAGGAGACAAAACAGTGAAGCAAGGTTGTTTAAGTCTATGGGCAGTGAAGCGAGTGGCCTGTCTATAGCTTGCAGCACTCAGTGGAGATGGGCTAATTTGACGAGACAGGCTAAAAGGCTAACTCTACTCTGTCAACTGTTGCTAACATGCTAACCCACTTCAATCTGCAAAAGAATAAAATAACCAGCCAATTTTATACAGTTTACAACCCTAACGGGCGTCTATCACATAAGTAGCTAACTTTTACCAAACCACTGTAAATATCACTAATCAAAATAGTATACACACAATAGTGCATAATAATTATAGTCCTGCAGTTATAATTGCAGTTTATGTAGTGAGACCACCATAGTAAACACCAGGTAAAACTATGGATCGTTGCTCCCAGCAAGTATAAAACATTTTAAAGTATTGCCTTTTGGTTGCAGTTCGGTAATGCTGCAGTACAACATTTTAAAAACATTCTAGAAACTGCCTGGTAGGTTGTCCTTGTACCTCAAAGTTTCAATATAACATATTTTAACCATACAAACAACCAGATCAAACTGCAAACCATTCTACTGTCTCCTTTCAACTTATCACCTCTTCACTGGACATTTCTTGCATTGATCCTTTCAAACAGAGTCTGGCCTCAGGACACATACAGTATAATTCATATTTCATCATGACCATGATGTGAACAGCCACAGCTCCTTCAAGTCAATGTATGTACGTGCATGCATGCATGTGTGTGGCGTGACGTAAAAAAGAGCAGAGGGCATCCTCATGTCGCACTTGATGAACCACCGTTCCAGGTGTTTTACTTATAAGATCCTCTAAGCACTAAATATAGCAACTATAGTCTGAGAGAAATACATTAGGTTTGTACACCACATACTGTAGGTTATGTGAGTGTAGAAGCAACACTATTAAATGAATCTATTGCATATTTGTCACAATGTCATGTTGTACTTTAGCCTCTATATTTCTAAATGTTCTAAATGCCACACAAACAACCAGATCAAACTGCAAACCATTCTACTGTCTCCTTTCAACTTATCACCTCTTCACTGGACATTTCTTGCATTGATCCTTTCAAACAGTCTGGCCTCAGGACACATACAGTATAATTCATATTTCATCATGACCATGATGTGAACAGCCACAGCTCCCTCAAGTCAATGTATGTACGTGCATGTATGCATGTGTGTGGCGTGACGTAAAAAAGAGCAGAGGGCATCCTCATGTCGCACTTGATGAACCACCATTCCAGGTGTTTTACTTATAAGATCCTCTAAGCACTAAATATAGCAACTATAGTCTGAGAGAAATACATTAGGTTTGTACACCACATACTGTAGGTTATGTGAGTGTAGAAGCAACACTATTAAATTAATCTATTGCATATTTGTCACAATGTCATGTTGTACTTTAGCCTCTATATTTCTAAATGTTCTAAATGCCATCTAGGTGAATTTGGCAAAGTTCAATGTCCCTAGGACTCTTTACCTCAACACCTTCATCAAAGGATGCATTCCAGCAATTATCCAGGGAGCGGACTGCCAATATCACTTCAAGTCATAGCTATTCTGGCTGTTTCTATTTCAAACTCATTTCAGACACAGCACAGGTAAAGACAAGGTCGATAAGCAAGTCTCTATTACAGACAGACCTCAAGAGAGACATTTCAGGGGACGACAGTCGCCTGCAGAGATGAGGTGCCATGGTGACGGAGGAGCACACGTCTAGGTGAACAAATCCGGCAGTGTCATAAGTAGCACTGCCAAAACAACTTTGCTAAATTGACCCATGTGTATTCTTTGCAATATCTGTCAAACAGCCTGCTTCCTTTGAATACTTCAGAATGTAGATAATTATCCTTTTCGTGAAAGCAAGAACCTATTAGATTGATGATTCGGTGGCAAAATCTAGCATGTTGCTGCAATACCTACCCCCTATTGTAGCATCCTAATGCACATGGCATGGGAAACCACTAAATCTGGTGGAGGGCATCAGTTGAAGTGAAGTTGTGGGCATCACGTGAAGGTCTGAGAGTTTAGGTGTATTGGGAGTTGCTCAAGAGACCAACGAAAATGGTAGCAGTACTAGGCCTGTCTGTCCTGTCCAAATGACTGATGGACACAGCTGTCAAACTCACTCACTCTCTGCTGTTCCAAGCTGTTTCCAGCCAGGCGTTTGGCTGCCACACTGCAACAGAACACCAGGGGGCGCTGTAATTGATGACGGCTTGGTTCTAATTCAGCAGATCCAAAATATGTTCTCCCAAACTGCCTGTAGACATGTTTTTTTTCTCGTCTGTCTTATCTTTTTTCATTCCCAATGGATCCGAATGGAGATATATGGTTCTTGCTCAAAGACAAAAGGCGAGACTACAAAACAAAATTTAGATTTTTTTTATGCACCATTTTAAAGGAGACAGAGATGTCTGATGGTGACCTCTTGTTTCTTTACACAACAATAAAGCATCTGTTTACCAAGCAAACAGTTGTGTCTAAAAAGTAGCACACTTTGTTTGAACAGCCTTGTGAGTTTTTACGGGCCAATGACATCTAATGTACAAGCCACCTAGGGACTATAAAAGAGTGTGAAATGTTCAATGGAACTGCTGCTTAGGGCTGCTTGCAAATAAAATGCCAGTATTGCGAGAGGCAGAGAAGGACTATTGAACTCGGAAGGAAGAGGCAACACACTTGTAAAGGTACAAAGCATTCCTTTCTAAACACTAGATTGCATTAAAAGTCATTGAAGCACATGTTACGGCAGTTGGGTCTGTAATGAACTATAAAGAAACAACGAAAAAGAAAGAAACAAGTAACTCTCTCTCTCTTTATATCCTCACCAGCTTCATTTTGGAGATAATTTCTACTTCTGGACCAACTCCAGGGACAGCAGTTCCAAAAATGTGACAACAAATACAGTTACAGCATGTTCCTGGATGGCTATTTTCAACCGTTGAATTGATGTGAGGATGTATCAACATGCTCTCATGGGTCTGCATCGAGTCAAATTATCCTGAGCTACAGTGATGCTTCGTTCTGTTTCAGTGGCAATGGCTCCAGGGTGTCATTGGGTTTCAGGGGTAAACCCTGGAGGACAGACACGGCTGTCAGACTCTCCTGGCACAGAGATGTCAAGCGATGCCAAGGTGAGCCAGTTACACAGCCCTCTGCCTGAAATGGAGCCACTTTGTCAGCCAGGAGGTCATGAAGTCTGTCTATGAGTAATGCCGGAAAAGAGCAGAGCAGGGCAGATTTAGCTTTTAACAAAACCACAGTGATGAGGTCTCTGGCTGTATCAGCTTAAGCCCTGACTCAAATGAGGACTAACGTCTGGAAATAAACTTTTCATTTGACATTAACTCAATAAAGCACTGGATTGGTCAATTAACTACTTAATTCCACAGGTTAAGGACGATAAAGGGAAATCAAAAGAGGTTGAGTGCATTCATCTGTTACAAAGAAACACAAGGTGTAAATATCTGCTTTCGAATTCCTTCGGTGTGAAGACTCGTTTCCAGTGGTTATTTTAAACCACCCAAATAAGCTGAATGACTGTTGTTTCAGACTTCTTCTTAAAACGAAAGTGTTCTACCTGTGATGTGAATGCCACTGGGTAGCATTTTATCTTTAGCAATACATGATGTACTTTTTACTGTTTATGTACTATTTGCAATTTCGTCTTTTTTGTATCGTAAGCGTAGTTGGAATCAAAGTCGAGCCTGCCGCAGGTGACAACCATTTGACGGAGATGAAGTGCTTCCGAATTTTAACACCCTTCTCACCTTCCTTACTAACATAAAATGATGTCTTGCCATATTTAAAGCTTGCGCTATATGTATAAACCAATGCTTTATTTAATTATTTTTAAAAGACATATTATAACCAATGCTTGAATGGCATGTTAGTTGCCAGACCAGAGACGTGTAATATGTATATTGGAGAATCACATTGTTCCCATTTGTTTGGTGGCTCCATTCGTTTGGTAGTACGTTTGACCGATCTAATCTTATGCACTATTCTAAGCTGTATCTTTTGTGTATGTATAATTAGAATGAATTCTACTAAGGGCTTTTAAAGATGTACGTGCTCTTAACAGGAGTTGCCCCGTGTCGAACATGGAAAGGGTTTTCCCCAATGCAATGACAGGGAGTACAGTTGCTTGTGTCAGAGTGAACAAAGTTTACTAGGGTAAACTATAGCAGAATACACGTAAGGGTTTGCGAAAGCGATGCTCCGTCCTGCAATCAAAAGTCAGGGAAATGTTTTGCTTTTGCTACAACACACTCTTGGTTTGTGTATTACTGTCCATCACAAAGCAAAAAAGATGTTCCCTCCTTGAGAAAACAGGTTTTCTTGTTTGAACCCTGAAAAGATATGCAAAAATGTGTTAAGGACATAGGAGAGCTCATTACAAATGCAAAAAAAAAAGACAACTGCTCTAAGTTTGAACTTACCAGCATTAAAGGAAATCCAAAGCCAGCTACAGCAATGCAGGTTGATCCTAATTAAAAGTCACTGGTTACATCATTGATAAAGAGAACGACAGGAAGACTAATTAGGCTTGTCTGTTGACTTAAACAAGGCCAGATTTTTACAGCAACACTAGCATTGAGAAATATCTCCTGTCACATTTGTGTTTACTGATGTTTACTGATTATATATGCCTGTTTATTCATACATCAGGGTTAAAAGAGCAAAAAGTTAAATATATAAATATTGTGTAAAAATGTATGTATATGATGTGAAAATAAAGCAGCATTAGTTCACAGCCTTTCACAAATACACACACACTAAAACTGAGGATTTAACATTGTAAACAGTGTTTTGTGTAAGTTTCCCAAAGGCTTTTCTGAGTGCAGCCAGCTCACATTACCCTGTGTCCTAACTACGTGTGATGCGACACATTTCCAAGTAATTTATTTGTCCAAAACGCCATGTAAACACAGCAGTGACATCCTGGTTTCTGGAAATATTATTTCCAAATGGTATTTTAAAAAAATAAAAAGCATTGAACCAAATGGCTCTGAGATGAGATAAATCATTCAGTCGACATTTAATATGAAGCTAAAAAGTATTTAAAATTTTTAAATGGAGAAAAAGAGGCTATACTTTCTTTTGAAGTGATTAAGGTCTCATACCAAGAAGCATTGCAAATGATGTAATAAAATCAGCAATCAGCAAACAGTATAGAAATGTACTTCCTGTTGTGCTCTAGCAGGATTTTGGACCAGTAAGATTTAACTGTGGGCGGGCTACCCAACACAGTGCTATAACAGAAGTCATGCCTGGTTAGGACACAGTTGTTCACTTGCTGAGATATAAAATAGCCCTGTGTACCCTTTTCCCCCTTTTATGCACAGCTTTATGTCATCAGCATTCACACTCTCTTTTTTCCACATCCTAGCTTCCTCTTCTGACTCCTCAAGGCAATGCATGTTCACACTGACTGTGATTAAACTGTTGGAGGTCAGAGTCTGCATTCTTAATGGTAGTTGCCATATTACATGGTTTATTTACATAACATTGACCTGTACCTTACCTTAACTTTGTTGCATCAATAGTTGTTGTCATTTGTGCCACCCAGAAATAAAAATGAAAAAAGCACTGTCAGTGTGTACGTCCAGTCACCTTTCATCTTTATCGTCTTCAAACTGACATAAATGTACACACAGGGCCTGTAGAGGGGTGTAAGAAGTACTGAAAAAGTATACTTTAATATGGGTATTGTAATTGTATTTTACTTCATTAGCCAAAATATACTTTAAAATATACTCAAGGGAAAGAAAAAAATCTGTATTTACATGAATCAAAAAAACAAACAAACAAAAATTTTCTCGAGCACCAATTAGAATGATTTCTGAAGGATCATGTGACACTGAAGACTGGAGTAATGATGCTGAAAATTCAGCTTTACCATCACAGGAATAAATTACATTTTAAATAAATACATTTATAAGAAAACAGTTATTTTAAATTTTAATAATATTTAACAATATTACTGTTTTACTGCATTTTTAATCAAATGAATACATCCTTGGTGAGCAAAAGAGATCTTACCTTTGAAGAGTAGTCTAATTGACCTTAAAAGATGTTTTCTTAGCTTTTGAAATAGATGAAATGAGACTTTGTTGTTAACTTTGGTGCAAAGCAACCTCTTTAACCGCAGTTGTCCTCAATATCCCAAATATATAAGACTCTATATGTCTAAACTTAAATCATTTTGCTGAAATGTGAACTGTGCATTGCGCAGATTGAACATGCTGAGTCAAATTCATCTTCATCAATGGTTATAATATAGACACATGCTGTGGTGACTGATGAGACATCTCTTCACCAGGATAAATGGAAATATTTGGCCAATTACAGTATATTTTGCATTGAAATGGATTTTATTTATTGGTTCTTAAGATTCTCTGACTGTGATATGCCTTTTTAGTTCAATTAAGCAGACAAAATGATACATTCTCAATAATAGGACATATGAATGGAGATGATGACTAATTCAAATATGCTTTATACTTATTACTTTGAACATGTAAGTGAAAGAACACTTTCCAGAATACTACCTTTGTGATGAAGCACTCACAATATTTCAATACTTTATACCATTGCCTACAGGATCCCTTGCAGAAACTGATTTTTAAACCTCAACTTCTGCACCAGCGCACGCTTTGACAGTTTCATTGATTATAAGCTAGTTTTGTCACGTCACTCACTTGCAGTGTGGACCCGATATTACTGTAGTCTCTCTCTTTCTCTCCTTGCTTTTCTCTCTCTGTCACTGTCTCGTTTGTGTTTGTTCCTCCATTTCTCTCTCTCTCTCTCTCTTTATTTCGTTGGGACAGTAGGAGGCGTAAGTCTTAGCTGTCATTGATATCTAAGTTAATATGGGTCTCCTGAGGCTGGGGAGAGAGAAATGGAGGATAATACAGCACATGATGATGAAGAGCTGTGGGTGGAAAGAGGAGATCTGTCATCCTATCCTCTCGCTTCCATGTACTTCATCTCTATTGCTTGTCTAATGCCCCATTTCCATATCTGCCATGCTTTTCCCCCCCTTAAGTCTGGTTGCACTTTGAGGAGACGTTGAATAATTCAGAGAAATAAAATTTACAGGACAGTGAAAGGGAGAGACATTCAGAGAAACACAGAGCTGTAGAAAACACATATGAGACTGGAGATTCAAAAGCCAAGCTGAAATGCACCTGTTTGAGGAAAAAAACACCGTTTATAGTCGTGCAAGTGTGTACTGTAAGTTGTATGCTTTTAAAAGACATTTATGAACCATTTCAAAGGTCAGTGTCTAGGAAGGTTTGGTTTTTGACTCTAATATTCCTTTACAGATTAATAGAGCATTGGCTACTGAGATCATCTAATAATAAAAACAACAAATCCCATGATTCCCATGAACTTTGAGTGAAACAATTGTTGTAACCGTCATGCAGGAAGAGATTTGTAGTGTTTTTGTTAGGTTGGCATGAGAATGACCTTATTCAATAAATAATGATTATTATTATGAAACCAATTTTCACTATAAGCAATGAAATTACTGAACATATGGTGGAGCAAATTTGATGTTAATGATGACAAGGGCAATGATGATGCTGATGATGATGGCAGCAGTAACCATGCCGACACAACAGCAAAGAAAATGCCAACTGTTTCTACGACACTAGTTGTAATTTCTAAGGAACATATGGACATGGTCCAACTGATTTAATGGCTTTTTAAGCATCTGTTTATAACAGAAACAATGTTAAGTGTTCTTTGTATTAACTTGTTTAAAAAAAATTAAATAAAAGGCAGAGTGAAACACTCGTCTGGACTGAGTCTGATTAATGATGTCACATGGGGATCTGTCAGTCTGATCTCTGCTGTCTGCTATTTCTGGGGAAATCTACTACAAAAAATATCATTTAACATAGTCATACTGCATAAATGAGAGTGTATACTGTTAGAGAACTATATAAAAAGCATTGAGATATTATGTTATTCACTTGCTGCAAAGGAACCTGTAGCAGTTTAGTCCCATGTAACTTGTGACTTTCAATGATGGGAACAAAATCTGGTTCAATTGACAGCTTTTTGAGTCAAAAACCGCCCACTTAGACAGGAAAATGGGATCTGTCTGACATGTAAAAATGTTGGTAACACTTTCTATGAAGCCCATATTTAAAATACATTATAAGAGTATATTCTTAAGGCATTATAATGAATGCATAATGTATTATAAAAAAAAACGTATGATGATTTATAATAAACAATGAACACAATGCACCCATTTAACTTACAATGGATTATATTTCCCATAGTTATAATGTATTATAAGTCTCAGATCTGGCCATTGTTAACTTGTTACTTTACTGAAAGCAGACAAAGGCCACTTCTAAATAACAACAACGACAACAACAATAATCAAAATAATATTTTTTCTTAAACAGCCATAGAATCAGATATTTGATCAGATGAATGTGTAATATGGCACATTTGCTTTTAACCATATTTAATGTAATATCAGTAAGATATTGCACAGATCATAAATAAATAATGTCAAGATATGAGACTTATAATACATTATAAATTAAGTGGATTTAACATGGTGTTTATGGCGTGTTATAAATAATCATACTCAGAAAAGTTATAACCACAAATAAGTACGTTTTATAATGTAGTATAATTGTCAATATGATTATTTATGAGATAAAACAACATATTATATGTTTTTTATAATGCATTATGCATTCATTATAATGCCTTAAGAATACTGTTATAATGTGTTATAAAAATGGGCTTCATAGAAAGTGTTAGTGTTAGAAAAATTAAGGAATCATTAAATTGGAAATAAATCAGTTCTTTAGCATTACTTTATACATTCAGTATCATGAACTTACAATGAACAATTTCTATATAATTTATCAATCTACGTTAATGTTCATTTGTAAATATGCTATTAATAACTGAACTCGGTTCATAACACACGGATACCTAATATTAAAAATTTTTTGTAGAAAAATAATTAAGCATTTTTGTTACTTTAAATGTAATAATATTTGACAGTATTACTGGTTTTACTGTATTTTTGATCAAATAAATGCAGCCTTTTTTCTTTCAAAAAAACATTAAAATATATCACCAACCCCAAATTTTTGAACGGTAGTGTATTTTTACATGCTGTTGTAACTAATGACATCACCTCAGAAATAAAGCAGAACATGCAGCTTTCAATCATTTGATAATCAACTGACTTATGGAAGCAGTGTAAAATTAGGAACTGGTGAATTTAGCCAGCTCTCACCAGTTAAGTTTGCAAACCGCATTAGACTATCCACTGGCAGGCCTGTTGTTTTTAGTAGCCTGAGAAATGAATTGGTTGAAAAGAGGTAACCGCAGAGCCGTCTATCACAGCAGTTTAATTGGAAAGAAACTCAAGGAACAGAGACAACTTCACTCACTCATTCACATTAGAGGTGCTGGAACCAGAGGGAGCCGTGACCTCCTGCACTTTTTGCCAATGTTCAGCTGGCTGATTAAAAAAAATATCCATCCGTTGGCTATGCACTCTTGGAATAAACTATTCACAGTAGTTTCAGAAACCAGATATCACGTTAAACAGATAAAAGTTACTATTTTATCAAGACAACTTGGTCTATAAACTGTGGAACACACACTATTTATTCACTCATACACTTATTTATCTAACACACACACTCAGTCTACATTTCAATTTGCACATAATATACCTGTACATACAACTGTCTATTGTTATATACCTGTACATACAATTGTCGATTTGTATATTTTTATTCCTTAGTTAGTTCTATTTTTCTATTTTTTATTATCTGTGTTTTTGTTCTGTCACTGTCATTCTGTTACACTGTGGAGCTTCTGTCATGAAAACAAATTCCTCGTATGTGTAAACATACCTGGCAATAAAAACTCATTCTGATTCTGATTCTCATTCTTCTAAAACCATATAACTCAAGCACATACAGTACATGAATTGAC